AGGCGGATCTCTGTGAGTTCGAGGCCAGCCTGGGCTACCAAGTGAGTTCCAGGAAAGGTGCAAAGCTACACAGAGAAACCCTGTCTCGAAAAAACCAAAAAAAAAAAAAAAAAAAAACGTGGCCTGCTTCCTTGCATACGGATTCTAGTTCAGTATGTCTACAGAGATGCCAGGAACCTGTTTTTAAAATTCATCCTCTGGTGCTTCTGAAGTAGAACCAAGGTATTAACTTCATAGAAACTTGTCTTCACAGTAGGACTGCCCTAGAGAGCAGAACCAATGTGGGGCCAGAAATACTTGGTGAGCTTCTCAATGGAGATGACACACAGGGACCATTTTACACTATTTCAGCATGGTGATGAAGGAAGGGAGCAAGATTAATCTGACAGTAGGTACAGGTAGGAATTTAGAAAGGAGATGAACGCTGTGAATGAGCAAATAACGGACTGTAAGGAAGGAGTGGCCAGTCTCAATACGACGGAGGCAGTGTGGATGAAAGAGACCATGCAGTCTTTGTGTTTAAATGAATAAAGCTTTTAAAAACCGGCTTTATAAGACTGGAAAGATAGCTCAGTGGTTAAGAGCACGGGCTGCTCTTCCAGAGGACCCAGGTTTGATTCCCAACACCCACATGGTGGCTCACAACCATCTGTAACTCCAGTCCTAGGGATATGATATGCTCTTCTGGGCTCTGTGGGCACCAGGTATACACGTGGTGCATGGACATACATGCAGGCACAACAGCCATACACACGAAACATTTCTTAAAATTGGCTTTGCAAAAATTATAGAAAATATGAACTATGAGCAGTATATAATGATTTAAAGGGGAGAGACCCACCTTGTCCAGAACCACATCACTCTTCCTGAGTTCCAAGACCTTGGAGAGATACCGACAGAGCTCCGCATTTGCTTCTCCCTCTGAAGGAGGTGCCGCAATTGCCACACCTACGGCCTCGGTGGTCAGATCTGGAATGAAACGACATGAACTTCGTCCTGGGCTCTTTCCCTCCACGGAGTGAGGAACTGTCAGTCTGCATTTACCTGGGACAGGCTTTCCGTTCCTAACTGCTGAACTAGGTTCATTCGGTCTCTTGCACACAAACCAGAACTGAATTGAATGTTAAACTCAGGGAACACAGATAAATCCGTCTCTACAGTCGTAGAACACACACACACAAAAGAGAAAACCCTACTAACTGGACAGGTCTAGAGTCCTAGAGAGCATCTTGGACTTAGGCGACTAGAAATTGCCTTTGAATGGGAAGAGCTCCAGAAGGGAGTCGCAAGTCGTGAGCTGGGCTTCGGCTCCACCAAGGTCACTCAGGAAATGCAGAGATGAAGCTGCACACTAGATCACACAGGGTGCAGGGTCTCACACCAGGAAAAGCCAAGCCCTAGGCCAGGTTCCTCTCTTCTGTGATACATATCTTCAATGCCTCCAATATTCAATGCACTTAACATTTATCTAACAATCACGCTACTTTTACGAGCATATAAGCTTTCCTAAAGGGTGTCAGCATAGTGCCATTATTAGCCCCATTTTATAGGCGAGGCAACTGAAGTCAAGTAATGTGCCCTGTAGTACTTCACAGTTATTAGGAGAACAAGGTATTTACTCAGAGCAGTTTGCAAATGAGCTGGAGCGGGTCCTGCATCTGGGGCCACTCAGCCATGGCCATACACTTGTACCCTGTATAACAGCACGTTTGTGCGTTCCACAGGTACCGGACGGTGAAGTGGCTCCTCCCTCGCCTCTCAGGTGCAGCTTTTCATTTCAGCATCTTTGAAATCATGCCATGTCTTTTCATGGATAGAAGAGTTTAGTTGATCTGATTTTTAAAAAATAATGTACATAAATACTCGTGTACCTTATAAGTGATTCCATCTTAGATTTGGCTTAGGAAATACCTGGCCAAGAGGTTGGGCTTGGGGCATAAGCCTATAATCCTAGCACTTCAGAGGCTGAAGCAGAAGGTAAGTTTGAGCCCAGCATAGGCTACATAAGCAATTCTTATCTTAAAAAAGAAAGAAAAGGAAGGAAGGAAGGAAAGCAGAAAAGCTGGCCAAAGTATGGGCAACAGATACAAGATAACGAAGCCATTGGCACAAACCAGGCCTATCTAGCACTTTGGTTTGGATGTAGTATTTTCAAAATACAAAAATAATTTGGTATACAAAGCTTTATCTTGAAAATAAAGATTTTTCAAGATAATTCAGTTCAAACTTTAACTTTGCCTAGGAATTAGTCAGGGGTCTCAGAGCTCAGGTTTTCTCCCATTTTCAGGTTAATGATGGTTACACTACACCAAATATCTCTTCTCTCTGTCGCTGTCTCTAATTTTTAGAACAGGAAAAATTAGGGCTAGTCTAGGCTATACGCATGTTTCCTTATGTGTGCTTCCCAAATGTTTTGTTGTTTAGAGACAGGGTCTTGTTTGTATTCCAGACTGATCTCAAACTCAAGATTCCCCTGCCTCAGTTCCTAAGTACTCGTGAATTACTGGTACACGAGACTAGGCTATCTCCAAAGCACCACATTTTTAAAAAGGAAGAGATACAACTTGGTACTAAATATTGTGCATTTTGTTTCAAATACCTTTGTATGAGAACATAGGGTTTTTAAATAGAGAAGCCGCCAGGCAGTGGTGGCACACGCCTTTAATCCCAGCACTAGGGAGGCAGAGGTAGGCGGATCTTTGTGAGTTCGAGGCCTGGTCTATTGAGCGAGATCCAGGAAAGGCGCAAAGCTACACAGAGAAACCCTGTCTCGAAAAACCAAAATAAATAAATAAGCCTCTAAATCAGATATAAAAATACATTTATAGTCACAGGACAGGCTGGCAGCCTACAAGGCAGAGAGAAGGTAGAGAGACAGCATGATCCACACAAGGATGCATCAGTGCTCAGATGTACCTGTCACAGCATTTTGTTTGGAGCCGGGTTTGGCATGGATAGCGATGGTGATACAACCTTTAGGATCAGTGGCCACAGGCCCTGCAGGAGGAAGTGGTGTCTCTGGTTCCTTAGTTTGGTTTTTACCCTAAAATGACACACACAATGTTACAGGTTATGGAATATTTCATCACACTTTTACTGTGACCCATTACTACCCCTCGCCTTGACAAAACTGGGCCTCCCATCCAGCAACTGGCCACGAAGGTGCTTCCCCACATCCCTCAGGGACCAGCCAGCCTCCCATCAACCCACGGCGTTTGCACTGCCTTAGAAGGCCTGACTCTGGCCTCCACACCTTTACGCTGCTTTCTCTTGTTAGCTTTATAATTCACTTTCTCCGCAAATAGAGACTATTTATTATTTATCATTTATTTGGTGTAGCTCAAAGCTGGGAAAGAGGGGGGGTGGGGTGGATCTCATTCTGGCTACCTAGAACTTGTCCCTATAGTCTGCTTTATAGTTACCATTCCTCAAGAGTAGAGTCATTTATTAGTCATCTTTATATCCAATCACACTAAAGCTCCGAGTGGGTGAGAGGGAGGGTGGGTTGCAGAAAGAACAATAATGACTGGCACTTAAATGCCATGCCACGAACTTTTTATTCACACATTCCAGAGCAGTCTGCAGGCAGTGGGTATGAAGAGATACTCCCTGACCTCAGGGAGCTGGACCACAGCGCGAGAGAACCATAATGAAGCCCAGAATTGTGCTAAGTGCACCATACACAGTACATTACTGCACGGAGAAAGGCAGCCGGGGCTGGGGAGCTGGGGAAGGTGCCAGCAGGTGGCAGTGCCTGAGCTGGGTCACAGAAAGGAGTTGGAGTTTGTCAGGGGAGGGGGTGCTGTCTCCTTGACCGCAGGCAGGCAGAATGCAGAGCCTGCCGGGAAGTGCAGCCCTGGAAGTGGGGAGCGAGGCGGAGGTCGGCAGGTGCGCAGTGGAGCCTCGATCCGGTGGTCCTCAGGCGGGCTAAGGTGCGGCCCAGGAAGGCTCAGACAGGGATGAGTGACCAGTTGTCGACCAGCCAGGCGCTGCTCTAGTCCCCGCTGGGGTAGTCCCGTGGCCCACCCTCTCCACGCCGCGGGACTTGCCACTGGCCTTGCTCGTCGCACCGGCTTTCTTAGGCATCGTGGAAGCAGACAAGAGTCTAGCAGGGACCGAAACGCCGCGACCCACCGCGAGCTGCAGCATCTCAACCCGCAGGCACCTTGGAGGACCACGGCGCGGCGGAAGAGTGCTGTGCGCCTGCGCACGTCGCGGGCGGAAGCGGCCTGCGCGTCTGCCTCCTCTGAGAGCGCCACCTTGCGCCTGGATGGCGCGGGTTTGGTTCTTTTGGAACCTGCCCGCCGCGGGTGTCATCACGTGGTGAGCCATCTTTGTCACCCATCCTTAGGAGTGAGTGACAAGAGCAGCCAGTCTCAGCGCTCGCCTGCTCCAAGCGGCGTCGTGGCAATTCGCACACTGCCGTGCCAAAGGAGAGGAGATACACTGTGCAATGGAATAGGACTGGAGCACAGGCAGGTCAGTACAAGTGCTGAAGTTAGGGACTGGTCTTGTCCAGTTAGGTCAGAAGGTGTGGACAATATTCGCCTAGAGGTAGGAAGATGTCTGCCACCTAAATGGGAGATGGCTTGTAACCATTTGAGGATCTTTGGGTCTTGAATGGTCAGAGATGGAGAGGAAAGATGCAACTAAGTCTTCAGTCTTAGGTGCAACTAAGACTGAAGATGCCCAAGTCTGGGGTTGGTGAGCAGGGTTGGTGGTTTGAGGTGAGTTTTTAGGCTACAGTAAGTTTGAAATGATTGGAGAGATCAAAGTGGAATAGTTACAGAGTTATCTGAATACCTAACTGAAGCATCAGAGACCTGTGCAGGTGACAGAGAACTGATGGTAACAAAAGGAAAGACCGTCAGACACATCCCCAGTGCGCAGAGCTGACATGCAGGTCCAGCACAGAGCAAGAAGGGTCAGGGAGACAAGCCACAACTAAACGCTAGCCAGAGGTAGTACAGTGCAAGGGCAGCTAAGGGAGATGGCTTCAAAGTGGACAGCTGATACTGATTATTTTTCTTATCTTTTTTTTTTTTTTTTAATATTTTATGTCTTGAGTGCTCTGTGTGTATACTTGCATGCCAGAAGAGTCATCAGATCCTGTTCACTGAGCCATCTCTCCAGCTGTGGTCAGCTGATAATTGTCACAAAAGAAGTGAATTGACCCGGTATTTACAGGTCTAGAAAATGAGTATTGGTGACCCAGATAGGGGCAGTTTTAGTGGATAAATAGAAATGTGAGCCGGGCGTGGTGGCGCACGCCTTTAATCCCAGCACTCGGGAGGCAGAGGCAGGCGGATCTTTGTGAGTTCGAGGCCAGCCTGGGCTACCAAGTGAGCTCCA